GGCTGCAGTTGGCGGGCGAGTGGACGCGCGCTGTTTGCGGATTCCGAGCCGCCGACCCCTCCTCCGCGGGGAGGGGGTCCTTGAGTCCAGTCGGTGGACGCGGCGCGGGGCGGATTGGGAGGATGGACGGTGTTTAGTCGACCCCGGGCCGACGCCAGGCTCTGCAGGTGCCCCTGCTCAGGGCTGCCCGGGGCTCGGCAGGCCAGCTCGCTGGCAGAAACCGCCGTTTCCCGGGATTACCGGGTTTTCAGGGAGCGGCAGAGGTCGGCGAGGGGCGGGGAGGCAGGGCCTGTGACCCCCTGGGCCCGAGCTTCCCCTTCAGGGCTTGGCCAGGGCGCGCGCGCTCTGGTTGGTGTCAGAGACACGTGCTTAATTAACTTGAATGGGCCGGTGCGTGCCTGGGATGATTTCCAGGAAATGACTGATGTTCGGAGAAAAGAGGGCGGGCCCGGACCGGAGGAGCCTCCAGAACCTCTTGAGTAGCCCAGAGCCAGAGGGACATGCCTCGGGGAGCATCCCTTTCTGCGCGCAGAGGAGCGGATCCCCGCAGAGGTCTGGGTTCCACCGCGGTCAGGTGCCCCGCGCAGCCTTACCTGGCCATGGTCAGTGGTGCTCTTCGCCGCCTTGCATGTCTGTCCTCGCCTCGGTTTGTGTTGGTTTGCAGGGAAATTCCTTACCTGGGTTCCGCAGAGAAGCTGTGCAGGAGTCTGTGTATCAGATGTGCTTTAAGAATATTTTGGAGTATTGCTAATTTTTTTTAAATGGGAAGAAGGCAAGGACTTTAGATCTTAGAGTTGACGTGTAGCCGGAATCTGTGCCCTGAGCTTTGATCTTGTGTTTGCTCCACCTGGTTTTGCTTCTACATTATTCTAGGCAGAGAGCAGCATGTGTGTTTATGAGTGTGTTATTAAGAGATGGTTCCCACTAACATCTCTTTATTGTGGTTTGGTTGTATGTGAAGTTGGAGGGAGTAACGACATTAGATTCATCTGGTGGATAAAGGGACTCTTGGTCTGTTGAGTTACATAAGATAGGGATTTAGGACTGAATACTTTTATTTCAATTAAGGGATAACCAGCATTTTCTACACCATTCGGGCCTGGGTGAAACATATGAATCAGCAAGTCATATCTTGATCTCTGTTCTCATTAACTATGATTCAGGTAGTTACACTTTTCAATTTATTTAATATCCTTAGGAAATGCCTTTTTAATACGGAATAGCTGGTATTATAAGACTTTTTATTAAAAAATAAGAAAGTTTAATTCATCAGTGACTATGTAGTGGAGACATTCAGAAGATCATTCGGTAATTTCTTTTTTAAAAAATGCCTTCAGTTCCAATGGTAAAGTGGCTTCTTGGCAATACTGCAGGGTATTGACACTTATAAAACTTTGCAGGAAGTGTTCAAACACACAGCAACAATTTAGAAGGTACTAGAAATCCGTTAGTCATAAGTTAGGCATCTCCCTGTCCCTCTAGCAGGCGTCTAACAAATGCTTTGTCCGTATTAATTCAATAAGCAGTTATCATCAGTCATTTGTACAGTGGCAAACTCCAGCTAAGTTCCATGAACCCAAATATGAGTTTAGAGATCTTCACTACCTAGAACACAGCTCTAGTCAGAACCACTTTTCATGCTTTAGAGTCTTTGATAGTCCCCACTGCCTAACATGACATTATGATTATCCATCTGCTGGGGGGAAAAAAAATTCCAGTTCTCTTCCTCCAAGAAGAATTCAGTTAAACTGTAGTTTGCCTCTGCCGTTTGTAGATTGTATAATCGCTGGTGGCTTGTCTTGAAGGTTGCGGCAGTGAAAGGCAGGGCTCGGATGGAGTATTGGTGAATGTTCGGAAGAGAATGAGAGGCATGTAGAGAGCAGGGGTTGGCCGTCGACGCTGGAAAGTCCTGGACAGACGACATGAGACTCAATAGTTATAATAAAACATCAAACACTAACATCGGTTTATTTAGTTGTAGGTTTGAAGTGAGTTTGTTTCCGTTTTCTGTGCTGCTGGGAGATCTTCTCCTTCGACTTCTCGGGAGGAGGAGCCTCAAGCTCTCGGGCAGGCTCTTCTGTTGGACTGCGCTGTGTGTCGTCCATTTACTGATTACTGTCACCGTCATTGCTACTTGGCTGCTTGTTCCTGTCTTCCTCTTTTAAGGGGTTGAGTTTAGCCAGACTGAGATGTGTTATTTACCTCCAGGTTCCTTCTCCAAGGCTGACCCCCCAGAACTGGGAAAAGAAAGGTCCTTTTTGTAGCTTCCTTGCTCCTGACTGGGGGTGGGGGGGTGGTCATCGACGTGTGCGAACAGCCGCTAAGGACCCCAGAGGGGACCAGTCCGACAGCCATCCCTGGTCTGGGCAGGAGCCAGTGGTCCTGAGGAGGGAGCTGTAGGAGTGCCGGTCACCTGGGACGGGGAAAGGAAAAGGTGCCCAGGGGATGGCGCGTCTCACCCACCCCAGGCTGGTCTGGTGCTGGGCCCCATGAGCATATCCATCAAGCACCCGGCAAGCACCAGTCAACAGCTAGGGTTGTTCTAAATGCTTGTGGGAGGCCTGACATTTGGGTGCAGCCCACAGACCCATAGAGCAGCCTACTTGGGGTGGTTCTGCAGGGGCGGGGCTCTGCGTCCACGGGGGCAGGGCTCTACGTCCACGGGGGCGGGGCTCTGCATCCATGGGGGCGGGGCTCTGCGTCCATGGGGCGGGGCTTGGTGACTTCCACCAGCTCTATTCGGATACTTTTTGGAAAGTCACTAACTGCCAGACTCTTTTGCCCTTTTTTTTTTTTTTTAAAGATACAAGTGGTATACACTTTTTGATGCTAATTACATAGAAATACACATGAAGAGAAAAGACAGTCAAGGAACTCTTCCAAACTGGTAACCATGATCAGCTCAAAACCAGGAGGCAGAGTGATTCTTACTCAGTACTCATAATGTACTGTGGATTTTTTTTTTTTTTGAGTGCTGAATGAACAGATTTTGCAGTAGTATTACTAAATGGTGTGCATATGTAAAATGTTGGTTTTGAAAACTTACATACCCATTGCAGCAGCCTTTCTGGCCGCAGGGACCGGTTTCTTGGGAGACAGTTTTTCCAGGTTGGGGGTGAGTGATGGCTTCAGCATGATTCTAGTGCGTTGCATTTACTGTGCACTGTATCTCTATTATTGTCACATCGGCACCACGTCAAATCCAGAGACTGGAGATGCCTGTACCATTGTACAAGGGACTTATCAAACTCCAGTGTAACCTCTATGGAAGGGAGAGCTGCAGCTTTATTATTTACACAAGATGTTTGCATCTCTTTCTCATTGTCTAAAGGATACTAAAGTCTTCTGTGGTAAAAGTGGAGGTTACTGATAAGTCTCAGTGTTGCAGAATGGACAACTTAAACTTTAACATGCAGTTGTTCAACTATATTCCAAAATTATTCTGCAGTTTGTTGTTTAAAATTTTTTCCCTCGTTGTAACTTCTTACTTCACAGCACTAATTACTGATCCTTTTCGTCACTGCTGTTTGAAACATAGGAAGAGCGGTACCTAGACGTGCCTGCTCGATGCTGGGTGAGCGTCTTCAGGCCTGTAGGGCAGCCTCGCATTCTGTTTTCTGACCTTCTCACTGGAGTATTACATTTCCAATGTCATGAATATTTAAAGGAAAATAAATTTTATATTGGAAACATTTTATTGACACCAACTAGATACAGTGCTGTATCTAAGGCCCTAATCTTGATTACCTTGTGCTGGGCAATGCTGTAATTGTTGAGGGAGGTTATCAAGAGGATGTGACTTCTGGTTCCACTGCAGTGGAACCCCCAGCCCAGCCTGCCGCCCACCCCCCATTCCCACAGTGGGAGCCTTTTCAAAGATGCAGGCTTGAGAGAGTGAGGTGATTTCGAGACCACCTGGCCTGAATGATTGGACCCAGTAAGGCCTCTCTGTAAGTCTGAAGATGCTGGTGGGCGGGTGTAGAGGTCCTGCTGGTCTTAGGGTCACCCAAGCTCTAAGTCCCCTTGCTTATTAAAACTGCCACCTGCTGATCTGAAGTGACCTGCCTCTTTCTGGGGTCCCTCCCCGCCGTCCATGTACAGGAGCAGGTTTCAGGTTACACCCCCCAAAGCTGCTGAGAGTTTGAACCAACAATAATCCAAGCATGAAACGTTTCTTTTTGATGAACTTAACTTCTTACTTCCCATCCACGTCTACTTTCTACTCCTAGTGCTTACTTCATGGCGAGACAGGGATGGCAAAGATGTGGCCTGTGGGTTTAGTTCGGCTTGGGTCTTTGTCACCTTCCCTTTAGGGCATTAGAAAAAAAAAAAAAAGACTCAGCTGAAAGTATTTTAGTTCAATAGGAATGAATTTTGCATAATTATGCTAGCTAGAGCCAACCTGCATTTTTACTTTGTCTTTAGTCTTAAAAATATTTTCTGCTGGTTATAGAATTCTGAGTGGGTAAGATTTTGGTTTCTCTTCAGCACTTTGAAGGTGGCGTTAGCTGAATTCTGGTCTCATTTTTTTTCTACTGAGACGTGACTAGTCATTTGATTCATTGGTGTCTGGGTGTAAGGTGCTGTTTTTATGTCTGCTGTCAGAATTTTCTCTCTCTCTTGGGTTTTCAGTGTTTGGGTGTTACGTGCCCGGGCATGATTCCCCTCCTATGTGTCTTGCCACGGGGTCATAGATCATCTGGAATGTTTAAATTCACCACATTTGGGAATATCGAAGCCATTGTTTCTTCAGGTGTTTTTTTTTCTTCTTTTTTTGTCTGTCCTATTCTTAATTTGTTGGGATGGCAATTACACGTATGTTAGACACTTTGTCTCATTCTGCAGATGTTCGTTTTTACTCTCTCATCTTCAGATACAGTCGCTTCTTTTGCTGTTTCCACTCTGTCCCCTGTGTTCCCCATGTGACTGCATTTTCAGTGGTTTACTCCAGATGCTGTGTTCTCCATTCTAGAATCCCCTCTTTGTTCTGTTTCCCTGGCTTAGATTTGCTGCCTCTTCATTTGCTGTGTGAGGGCCATTTTCCTTTAATTAATGGGCCTCATGATAATCTCAGCTGTAAAATCCTGCTTTCTAGCATCTGGGTTGTCTTGGGACTGATCTGTGTTGCTTGTGCTGCTTCGTTGAGGATGGGTAATGTTTTTGTGTTTCTTTTTCTGTTGAGTCACTTTCAATTTTAGCTTGACCTTGTGAATGTTGGGTGGAGACGCTGGATTCTCCCTAAAGTGGGCAATTCAGTGAACAGCAGGTTACCTGTATTGTACTCTATTACCGTATCCAGTTCAGCTTGAATCCCCCTAGTACTCACATGGCTGGGGTGGGGGCAGCCAGCCCTTTGGGCAGCACTTAGCACAGAATTTGAGACTCTCCCCCTGGTCTTGCTAATTCTAGAATCCGCTCCCCCACTTTCTACCTGAAGTAGTTGCCGCAGACCTTTTCCCCGAAAATCGGCTCACTTTGGGTTGCTCTCGAGTGCCTTCAGACTGTGTTTGCTTTGCATTTTGACAGCTATACATGTGAAACTGCTTTGTCAGGACCTTAACTCAGCTATTGTTGGCACTGAGACTCCCCATGTCTTTCCCATCAATCAATTCAGTGCCCAGACCTCAGAATTAGTGGCTTGGGGGACCTCACCTACTGGAAGCCCTAGGATCAGTGGCATCTAGTTTCTCACTAGACTTACTCCTAACTTTATTTTTTATAAATTTTCAGTACCCAACTTAATGTTCCTCTGCACTTGGGGACCACATCCAGGAAAGAAGGGTTGACCAATGCCATTCCTGTTCCCTCCTATCTCCTCCTCCCCAAGACTGGTTAAATCTTTGTGAACCTCTCTTCTTGTTGAGTCTCGTTTTGTGGGGTTTTTTTTTTTCCATTTCCTCTTCTGTCACTTTTTCCTCTTCTTGCTTTCCTTTTCCCTATGTATGTTCTCCAAAATTCACATTTTGATCAATCATATCCTGTTACATCTAAAGGTTCTCATTTGATCCTTTTTTTCCACTTTCACACACACACACACACACAAGCCCAATTTAATGATCTCCCCTCTCCAAGGTAACACCTATTTCTTCCCCCCTCTTTCCGGCCCCTTCCTGTTTGGATCTGAGAGCTTCCCTTCACAAGGCATTTCACCCACTTTCCAAGCTTTTCCTCAGTCTACACTTTGGAGTTAAGCACCTCCTCCTCCTTGTGGCGGGTGAGAAGATTTCCCTCCTGGATTTGAGGACACAGCAGAATCACCAGCTTCCTCTCTGTGGGCAGTCTCCCTCATGGTTGGATCAGCCATGACTCACAAGCTGCTCTGGGCATCACAGACATACACGAAGCTTGTGAATTGTGATTTATCGCTGTCACAACTTGGTTCACGTCCTGCCTTTTCTCCTCGGTCACACATTCTACTTCGTGACCACCGTCCCTGTGCTGGGACCGAGCATATCCCAGGGCTAGACTTCAGCTGAGAAGGTGTCCATCATGACTCCTGCTTGTCGGATCGCTCCAGCTTGTCTTTTGGCTTGAATTTCATGATCCCTGGGCCTACCAGGACCTCCGCAGATAGCTTGTACTGAGTTCCTAGCTTCCCTGATGCTGACGGCTGACAGCTATCCGTCTTCCTCTGCGGGAGTGCCTGGTTCCTCCCGTCAGAGGGAATCCTCTGAACTTTATTTTGTTTATGCATTTATTTATTCTATTGAAGCATAGTTGATTTAACGTGCAGTGTTAATTTTTAGACTACAGCAAAGTGATTCAGTTATACATAGGTGCACATTCTTCTTCATATTCTTTTCCATTATGGTTTATCACGGGGTGTCTAATAGAGTTCCCTGTGCTATATGGTAGGACTTCGCTGTTTATCCATTCTGTACGTACGTGCATCTGCTAAACCCAAACTCCCAATCCATCCCTCCCCCACCCTCCTTCCCTTTGGCAAACAGCTCTTAGTCTCTTCTCTACATCCGTGAGTCTGTTTCATGATGAGGTCATTTGCTTCATATTTTAGATTCCACATATAAGTGGTATCTTATGGTATTTGTCTTTCTTTCTGAGTTTGACTTGCCAATCATAGTTCTTTAATGTTTATTTTTATTTGTTTATTTATTTGATTGCACTGGGTCTTAGTTTCAGCAAGTGGGACCTAGTTCCCTGACCAGGGATCAAACTCTGGCCCACTACATTGAGATCGCTAAGCCTTAGCTATAGGACCGCCAGGGAAGTCCCGCCAACCATAGGTCTTCATGCTAAACAAGTGGCTTCCTTTTTAGGTTGGTAATTACTGAAAGAAATAGGAAAGAAAGCCCATATAAATAAAAAAATGTAAATTCTTTTTACTACCAAGAATCTAAATCATGCTGGAGAATTTTAGAAAGTTTAATGGGATGCATAAAACATAAATTGCTTTAATGACTTCCAGGATATTAGTGAAAATCTATTTATGTTATTTTGGTTATACATTTTATTGATTTTTAAAATTTTAATTGTCCTCGTTTTCTCAGTAAAATGCATAAACAAATATAAGCTCATGCATAAGTTAAATTTCCAGGAACAGAGGGCAGTAAATGAGAAGTAATTGTTTTTCTGGTCTAAATCTAACATGTTGGATTGTTCAAATTATTTAAGTCCAAAGCTGGACCTCAAGTGCAGTGTTTTGATAATCTCACATCTTGTATCTTGTAGACCCCAAATCTGATGCTATTTTTGACTAAGGGCCTAGAAATCTGTGTTCAGTCAACAGAGGTGGAGGAAAGTTATCTACACTTTGCTCATCCCCTCCCCACACCCTTAGGGCCTTAGAAAGTTTGCATTGTCTTCATGACACACAGTTTTAATGCCGTCTCAGTATCTCCATCATCCTTCTTAATTTTTTTAAAGTTTAATTAGAACAATTTTTACTGAAGTCTAGTTGATTTACAGTGTTGTGTTCATTTCAGGTGCACGGTAAAGTGATTTAGTTATACATCCTCTTTCATTATAGGTTTTTCACAAGAGATTGGATTAGTTCCCTGTGCTGTTCAGTAGGTCCTCTTGCCTATCTACTTTGTATATTGTAATGTGTATCTGTGAATCCCAAACTTCTTTTTTTAAAACAAAATATTCAAATGCAATATTAAGAGGGCATTAGATATTTAGAGATTACTAGGTAATTAAAATGATATCTGAATGTGATGTCACAAAATGTGGATGCAACACAGCAAGTTTGTATTTTTAAATTTTATTTTTCATAAAATAGAAAATGAAGATGCAGGGGACCTTTCTTAAAGTCATCTCAAATGTACAAGCTCAGATGTGGAAAAACTCCTTTGGTGAAGAATTATTTACTGAGAAAGCGTGGAAATAAGGGAAAAGGAGGAAGACTGGACCTCACAGTTGGTTGAGCTATGCCTTCTGTGTGGACTGAGTTACAGGGAAGTTACTGAAGCTCCCTGGGCCTTTTTTTTTTTAATGTAAAAACTGAGGACATACACTAGACTTCTGAGCCCCACCAAGCTCTTAACTGCAACTATTCCATCCCTAGAAAGAGCCATAAGCAAGGTGGTTTGCCATTATTAAGGCATTCCCAGGTGCAGAAATCAAAGGCAATTCTGTAGTAAAATATACTCAATGGAAACTCTAAACCAGTGGGAGTCCTTCACACTTTAGTATAAAAGCAAACACATACTATGAATATCTGACATAAAACTGAGGCCAGAATCAACAATTCGGGGTGCTTTCTCCCTCCTTCCACTTTTCTTATTTTTTCCCTGAATGTTAGCTTATTTCACCTTCATAACAGCCACTAAGGTAGATACATGAGTTTTTATTTCTTCTTTGTTTTTTTTAACTGAGGAAATGGAGTTTCATGATTATATGCAAATCATTTGTGGCCCCAGGGGTGGTAAACTCAAGAAAATGTATTCAAAAATGTATTCAAACTGAAAACATATAAATAATAAATAGTACTGAATTTGTTTACTTGGTAGCTTCAACCTGTGTTTCTTTCAACCCTGAAGTCTACCTGTTCCTTTATTTATATATTTTGTGGGCATTGGATTGCTTGCCTATGATACTTAGGAAAAAAAAACAAAACTGCTCCTACTTTTATTAATGAGATAGGATCTTCACAGATGAGCCAGGAAACAAGAGAATACAATACCAGGGGGTGTTAAAAACGAGTAAGGCTGCCTTGTGGGATTGCAGCTGGTCAGAGCAGAGAGTGCTCAGTGGAGTTCATGGGGGGAGGCAGAGACGTTGGTGACTGCCCTTTCCACGTGTCCTGCAGTCATAGAAAGAGCCCAGAGACTCGAGGCTCCATGCAACAGACTTGCTCGCTTTCCAGATAGATAGCTGTGATCTTTGGCAACTCAGGGACCTGTAGAGTTCTGACAGACAGTTGTTATGTAACATTGTCTGTATTGGCTCCTGGTGCTTTTTATTTGTGACCCCTGAGAATAGATTCCGGTTCTTTCCAGTAGAGGAATCGTGCTTAATTTCCTCTGTGTAATAGTCAGGAGCCTGAGAAATCATCAAAAGGGACCTGATATGAAAAAAAAAACAAAACAATACAGCAGTGGATATCATCTCCCACGCTGTATCAAGCTTTTGGGGTGCCGCAACATTTCTTTCTTAATTCACTCTTCAGCTGCGAGCTGGACACGTGTGTAACAGAGATGCTATTCATTGCTTCCTGGGCTGTTTATGGTCAGTGAGAGTAGACCCCCTGCCCACAGCCTCTGCTGTCCTGTTTAAAACAGAGGACTCAGCCTTCTCCTGAACACAGCTGTTTAGACCGGGGCTGACCAACATCCTCCCACAGAAGAAATCTGCAGGGTGAGCTAAGCTAATCAAACCCTTTCTTGGCAATTTTGAAGTGAGAGACACAGAGACGCCCATCAGAGGACAGAAGTCCCCTGTGTAAGAGCACATAGACAGCCGTGTGCAGTCATGAGATGCTAAGGATGTCTGGTGGGAGAAAGAAAGGAGAGCAGCAGAGGCGACAGAAGTGGTAAGACTCAGCGGGTCTGGCCTCACCTTCGGACTTCTGGGTTACAGTTCACAGGATGCCTGCCTGTATTGTTATTGTGGTTGCTGTTCAGTCGCTCAGTCACATCTGACTCTTTGCAACCCTGTGGACTGCAGCACGCCAGGCTTCCTCGTCCTTCACTGTCTCCCAGAGGTTGCTCAAACTCATGTCCATTGAGTCAGTGATGCCATCCAACCATCTCGTCCTCTGTTACCCCCTTCCCTTCCTTCCCTCAGTCTTTCCCAGCATCAGGGTCTTTTCCAGTGAGTCAGTTTTTCACATCAGGGGGCCAAGATTTTGGAGCTTCAGCTTCAGCATCAGTTCTTCCAATGAATATTCAGGGTTGACCGGTTTGATCTCCTTGCAGTCCAAGGGACTCTCAAGTGTTCTCCAGCACCACAGTTTGAGCCTGTCTCTATGCCCCTTTATTTCCTTTTAGGCTCCTTCTGCTTTCTGAGATGTACTACTAGGTAAAATTGATAGAAAATAAAATCTGAAATTTCTAGCAAGATTTCCCATGTTCATTCCATCTCTCCACTCCTACCAAATAGAACTGTTTTGGACGAACAAACTTTTTGTTAAACTTCTTTGCATTCTTGCTTTATATCTCAAGAGACCCAAGTGAGGGAAAAGAAGTCACTGAATTGCTTTCTAAGCAGGAGTGGGAGTGATGGCTACGTTCCAGGTTATTATTGGATAGAGCTCGCCAAGAGCTGAATTTATCAGAAAAATAGAGGGTATCTGTGAGGCTTTGTGGCAAGAGATAAAAGGGAACAAGACAGAAAAAGATGATGTTGCTGGCGGCCAGGAGCTTTACATTGGGGAATGGAATAGAAATGTTGGGTGTTGTATCTCCCTTTTCAGAGAAGCGGCAAGAAAAATCTCTGGGCTCACTGATGTGCTGCGTGGCTAGACATGGGCTTTCTGTGGCAACTGGAGTTGGGTCTTTTGATGTAACTTTGAATATAGGTTCAAGGTGAGGGCAGGACAAGGTCTCAAAGGCCCTAGGGGGCCCAGAAAATCTAGATTACCTCCACAATATATTTGTTATTTTTTCACTTTGTTTTTTAATTTGAGCTACTTTCAGGGCTTTCTATATTTTTTTCAGTGCAATGAGCTCTAACAAAAATGGTGTGGCATGTGTAAAGCACAGGGTGGTGGGCAGGGTTCAGTAAACGTGAGACCTGATCTCTTTCTGCAGTGAATGCTCAGTGTTCCTCTGACTGCTTTGACGACTCTTGGGATCATCAGGAGACAAACTTATTGGTTTTTTCTAATGTGTCTTTGAAACAAGTTTTGACTGGTTGGTACCCAGATTTGTGAAGCTATATAGCCTTTTCTGTGTTCTTTAGTATTACAAATGAGTTGAGTGTGTGTTAGTTTCTCAGTCGTGTCCGACTCTTTGTGACCCCGTGGACTGTAGCCCAACAGGCTCCTCTGTCCATGGGATTCTCCAGGCAAGAATCCTGGAGCGGGTTGCCATTTCCTACTCCAGGGAATCTTCCTGACCCAGGGATCGAACCCACGTCTTCTGCATGGCAGGCAGATTCCTCTTGTCTGAACCACCAGACAAGCCCTTAAAATGCCCAGGCCAGTCTTCTATAGGAAGGTTAACTCCAGAATTCATGCAGAGACAGGCTCCACCTCCTTCCCAGCTTGACCTGCTTCAGGTCTGCAAGCCTGAGGCGGGGAGGGCTGGGGGCTTCTCCGTGCTTCCTTCCTGGAGCATTTCTTCCTCTTCCCCTGCACCCACCAGTCCCCATTTGTTGTTTCGCTGTGGTTGAGTTCAGGCAGAGAAGGAATGGGGGGAAAGGCAGAGTGAATATTGCCCAGGTTGCCCTGCATGTGGCATATGCACAAAACTGATCTTTTTGTTTTTTTTCCTGGAGACCTTTCAGGGCGTTTTCATGGGATGCGCTCACACAGGATACTGACAGGTGACTGTAGCATCTTCCCGGCCGTGACACCATCTCCACCCTCATGCTTCCTGGGGTCACCCTAAGCTAGGTGCTTTGCTCTGTTGGGTGGGGCCCCGGCTGAGTGGCCCACGGCTTCTGCCTCCCATGTGGTCCACTTCTGGCCCATGAGAGGCGCCGTGTGTCCCATCACTGCTACCAGCTCAGCTTGCTCCCTCTCTTCCCGTCAGCTGTCTGAGAGGCACTCTGGTTTCTGCTTCCTGATTTTAAGTTTGGCTTGGTAGGGTCTGGGTACCACTGCTTATGCTTCCGAGGCCCCCGTTCCAAGCTCCCCGAGGGGCGCTCTGTGCTCAGAGGTGACCTGCAGCTTTCCTTTTCCTCGTCTGGTTGTACGTCCTCCTCCACCAGAAAGGTGGAGGTGTCAGAGGACCCCCCCAGGGCTCTGGATTTTCAGTGTCCTTTCGGGCGGGGGTGTCCTCTCTGGTGATGGCTGTTGTGTGCCTCCGAAGTTCAAGCCCCTCATATCGTTTCCTAGACTGCTCATCTAACAGACCCGTTAGGCTGTGCCTGGTGATCACCATTACCGTTCTGAACTTCTGCTGCTTCGGTTGAGACTGAAGATCCTGTTAAGCTTGGCTGTCTTCCTGCTTGGGCTGGTAAGACTACTGGTCAGTGGGTAATGCGCATCCATGGAGAGTGCTGTCTCAACTCAGGGTGTGCATTGAATGGAAGGACAGATCTTGGCTTATATGACTTGAAAAGGATTCATGGGGTTTCTGCCGGGCAGTGGAGGACACAGTGCTTGGCTTGAGCCTGCGCTTTATCTAAGGAGAACAGGCATATTCTCGCTGAAGTGGAAAGTGTCTGTTTTCTTTATTCTGAAGGTTGCCTGCGCACTCATGTGTATCCAAGGAAGGTAGCAATCCTTGACTAGCTTACTCACCCTTCCTGCTAAAGTCCCTCGGCTGTGGTGCTTCTCAATCCTTCCTGTGCACACTCCTCGATTAGGAGTTCTTGTAAGAACACATGTTCTGGGAGTCCCTGGTGGTCCAGGGGCTAAGACTCCAGGCTGCCAATGCAGGGGGCCCGGGCCCAATCTCTGGTCGGGGAACGAGATCCTGCATCTGCCTCAGTGGAGGTCAGAGCTCCTGTGTGCCACAGCTAAGACCTGTTGCAGTCAAATAAATGAATGTTTTTTAAAACGCATTGTTCTGACTGAGTAGTTCGAGGGTGGACCCCAAGATCTGCGTTTCTTAGGAAGCCCTCCAGTGAAACTATTGCTACTTATGCTGAGAGCACACTTGTCCTGTATATAGGCCTGGTCCAGCAGCCAGAAATTAAAACACACTTGCTTCTTGGAAGGAAACTATGATAAACCTAGATAGCATATTAAAAAGCGGAGACATCACTTTGCTGACAAAGGTCCATCTAGTCAAAGCCATGGTTTCTCCAGTAGTCATGTATGGATGTGAAAGATGGACCATAAAGAAAGCTGAGCGCCAAGAATTGATGCTTTTGAACTGTGGTGTTGGAGAAGACTCTTGAGAGTCCCTTGGATGCAAGGATCAATCAATGAATTCTAAGGGAAATCAACCCTGAATAGTCATTGGAATGACTGATGCTGAAGCTGAAGCTCCAGTACTTTGGCCACCTGATGCATAGAGCCTACTCATTGGAAAAGACCTTGATGCTAGAAAGATTGAGGGCAGGAGGAGAAGGGGACAGCAGAGGATGAGATGGTTAGATAGCATCACCAATTCAATGGGAATGGATTTGAGCAAACGCCAGGAGATAGTGAAGGACAGGGAAGCCTGGTGTGCTGCGGTTCATGGCATCGCAAAGAGTCGGACAGGACTTAGTGACGGAACAACAAGAACAGCTGGTCCAGCATCTCGGGTCAGCTGTCTACTTCAGATGCCGTCTTCCTTGCCTTTGCTCTGGTGTTCTCTCTCCTGGAGCACTCTCTGAGCAGCAAGGCCCCACTGCTCTCCTGAGTAACACTGATATAGCCCATATCACAGGATGCCTTTGGTTAT